GTCACTTTTCCGGTGTCCAAACGCTCCTTCAGAGCCCAGAAGCAAACAATAAACAGTGCAAATATACACTGTAATTTTAGCAAAAAATCTCCATACCGAAACTTCAGATGGCCAGACAGTGATTCATCTTTTCTGAATCACTAAAATTTGTGTCTGGGACACTGTCATCCAGAGGCTGTGAGATTGAAAGCTTAACTTAATGAACCGACATCACCCTCATTCCCTTGACATTTTAAATTATTGCAGAAAACGAGCTCTCTGACCAACAACAGTTTATGATTCTTACATGTTTTACTCATCGTGATAAACTTCACAAATGAACACAACCTTTATCGATTATGAAGCCTAAATTCAATCGCCAGAAGTAAAAAGCTAAGCGTAGGCTATAAACATGATCATAAACATAGTGAGGCTGTGAAGTGACTAGGGATCTCCTGGAGAGCTACTGTCCTGCAGACCCTGGACACCTTGATTATCTGGTTCAGGTGTGTTCGATTGGGGTTGGAGCTGAAATGTGCAGGATGGCAGCTCTCCAGGAGCAGGGATGGTGACCCCTAGACTAGTGAGTAGATGAGTTTACCTGTCTGCTTCAATAGTCCTCTGTAGGCATTTAACCAAAAAACCCATTCAAAAAACACTGGAACCAGAAGTATTAAAATGCAACCTCGTTTCCAGAATTCAGACAACAAAAATATGTCTCCCCTGCAGCACACCTTACAATGTTCATCACCTAATCAGATAAAAAAAAAGAACGCGGCAAAGACATTACCCAGTCGCAGCAGTGGGATGGTTACATTAAAGACAATAAATGAAATAAAATGTGCTCAAACACATTAAAAACATCTCAGTAATTCACACAAAATGACTTCATCAGTTCATCAGTTAACGTCTTGTGAAGCAAAAAGCTGCATGTTTGTAAAAGACAAATCCATCAACAAGATATTACTAACTTAAAACCGTTGCTACTGGCCAAAATACGAGTCCTCCAGTGAAACGTGGTGTGGTCTGAATCAGGAGAGCAATCTGCACAGATCAAGCACCGTTTACAAGCCAAAACTGTCCAAAACAGTTTGGGTGGATTTTGATGCGAGAACAAAACGGGATGACATTTTTCACTGGAGGAAGCATTATTATGGATCATGGACTTATTGTGGATGCTCTCAAGGTATTTTGGACAAGCAACATTTTAAAGTTATAGGTGACATATTATTTCATATAATTTTACAATATGTAATATAAGTCTCTGGTGTCCCTACAATGTGTCTGTGAAGTTTCAGCTCAAAATACTCCACAGATCAATTATTATATAATTTTGAAAATACCTATTTTGAGTGGAAGCAGAAACACGCTGTTTTCGGGCCTGTGTCTTTAAATGCAAACGAGCTGCTGCTCCCCGCCCCCTTTTCCAGAATAGAGCTTCGCCATTACAGCTCATACCTGCTAAAAACATCTGTTTTGGTTCTGATTATCATGTTTATCTCTCTGAAATCATGCGTTTTAAACCATATTAGTTTAAACTTCTGATATAAGGTTTTCTGAGAGCACACGCACAGAAAGCGGCACAAAATGACGGCGCCTTGAGTGGAAGTTTACAGATTAAGGGGCGGTAATATTATAATGAGATCCCTTTGCCACGTCACCAAGGGAGCGAAATCAGACGCGCTCGTTTTCTCAGATGCTTGCAGAAAAGGCTTACCTAAAGAAAGTGATTGGGTTAATCTTTTTCACGTTTCCTTGGTTGGTAGATGCACCAGGGACCTGATTATAGCACTTAAAACCTGGAAAAGATATGTCACCTTTAAAACATCTTGATGGATACCGAGCTTTTTTCGCTTCACAAGATGTTAACTGATGGACTGGAGTGGTGTGGATTATTGTGATGTTTTTATCAGCTGTTTGGACTCTTTTTCTGACGGTACCCATTCACTGCAGAGCATCCATTGCGGAGCAAGTGATGGAATGCTGCATTTCTCCAAATGTGTTCCCATGAAGAAACAAACACTTCTACATCTTGGGTGGCCTGAGGGTGAGTACATTTTCAGCAAATGTTCATTTTTGGTAAACTATTCCTGGGCCCCTTTAAACTGTGTTCAAAAGGGGTTTACAAATCAGTGGAAAAAGCAAATTATGACAGATTTTGATGTATGCAAGTTCAAAAGATAAAAATGCAATTCATGGCCCCATTAACTTTTCCTGTGCTTTTCCTTCAATTTTGCAGCATCTGAATCCATTACCTCTAAACATTCATTGTCCTGTGGTGAACTTTCATTCATACCTCACTGCCTCTCTGTTCAGATGTGTAATTCATTACGCACTAGATTCTAGGCTGGGAGGGAAATCTCTGAGCATGTGCTATATTCAGGACATTTTTTTTCTCCTGTATCCACTTAGAGGCGTTTCTGTGAGTTGGGAGTCCCCACGGAGAGATAAGCCTCGCTGAAATGAGGGGCCACGTTACAGGGACCGACACACATATACAAGCCCACATGACAGGGAGCCTTTGTGGCCTAATTGTGCAACTTGGCTCTACTCCCAGGCTGAACCCTGAAAAGAAAACAGCTCATGTGAAGAGAATGTGTTCTCCTCTGGGCCAACAAAACATTTGCACAGATTGCTCTCTTGTTTTTGGGGAAAAGATAATGCTCGTCTTCTTTCAACCCCCACACTGTACCTAACCTAAAGTCAATGTTAGTCAATGCTAACATTAAACTAATGCTAACTAATGGGACCTTATTGTAAAGTGTTGCAAACCTCTAATAATTTATACCTGAAAAGCATGTTTTTCCCCACATACATTGCTGTCTGATTTTCTCTACACATTTTGCTTTTACTTCTCACATTTTTCAAAAGAAAGGGATTAAACGACTAAATGTAATGATATTACTGATTTAACTGCACTGATACGATCAGATGAGAACAAAACATGAAACTCAAATTGAGCTGGATAATGACACTTCACAGCTGAATTTGTTTCATTAGTGAATCATTTTACAAAAATTGCTGCTTTGCAACAATTTGTACCATTAAAAAAAAAAACCGCTATATAAATGTGACTAGACATACGGTATGTTGGAAATAAATCAGCTGTTTCATATGTGGCCATTTTATTGTTGAAAGGCATACGTTGCAGTGCAAACAGTCTTTGGCAAAAATACAATACAAAATATAAGAATAATTTTGACCACTTGAGCATGTTCAGTCTTGCAGGGCAGTGCAAGTCCATGGCAATGTGTGCACAGTTTGGTTTGGGGGAAGATCTTCAAGAGGTTGCTCGATCATTTAGGAAGGAAGGAAGGCCGTTTGGGAGTAATAAAACACTGATATAGAGTCACACAACAGAGATAAAAGAGTTGAATGCGGTCGCAAATGGTAAAATAACGGTCAGAAATTCAGCTGCTCTCAACACAATAGCACCACTTTCCCAATCACTAACCAGCACGACTACTAGCGTACAAGCAGACAGTAATTGTAATGGGGCTTCCATGGCGTTTCATACAGTGGAATGTTTAGAGAGGAGCAGCAGTGCAGCTCAGGATATGGCTTTCAATTTCAGTGGGACTCCAAAAAAAACAAAAACTAAACTCAAAAACACACCACAGCTCAGACGTCTCACCAGTGCAACACTTCTACTGATATGATTGGGACATCACACCAAGCTACTAAACAAGATTTTCCACAGCATCAAAGCAAAACTTGAGTCTTCAGTCTGAACTGAACAGGACAAACACAACGGCAAAAGCACAGATGACACTGTGAACTCCTTGCTGGCTGCACAGTAACAAACATACAGCACGAGCAGTGTAGTCCGACTCACAAACAAATGACTCCTATGCAGTTCAAATGGTACAACATTATTTAGTGATTCCTTAAAAGCACTAAAACGTATCGTTAATGGAATCAGAACATAAATGCAACTCTCATCTCAAATATTGCTCTTCTGCTGGATAAAAGCGTCTGCTGAATGAACGAATATGAATAGAATTGAACACTGGATGCTGAGAGAGTAGTGTGTTTCAAGTGATGTATTGTGATGAGGCACAACTGTTTACATCTCTCTGAACACTGTGTGAAAAGGAAGGAAACATCTGGACCTTGATTCATGACAAGAATATAAATACTGGGCCGGTAGAACAGAGCATTACAGAAAAGTACAGTAACACCCTAAAAGAGAGCCTGACATCAGCTCAGTGCTGCACTTCCCAAACGCTTCACCTCAGTCGCTCCCAAACCAAAAACATCGAGCTTTCTGTCAAGATAAAGCAAAGAACACCAGGTCTCAGAAAACCCGCAGTTGCCAAGGGAAACAAACATTTGGTGATCAGTAGAGTTTTTTTCCCCATTGCAAAGATTGTTTTCAAGGTATTCACATTTTTCTCCACGTGAGAGGAAGATAAAAAAGCGGGACCTAATATTCTACATATGTCCAGAATATGATACTATGCACCATAAACAAAGTAAAAGTATGAGTAAGGTTTACAATTTCTTTAGCGTAACTACAAAACGAAGGGTTTTCGCTCAAGTGCGGTTTTAAAAAGCTCATAATGAGTGTATATACTGTATGGTGCATTGCATATTGCAAAACAATTAAATGCATAAAACAACACTCTTGAGACTTGGGTAAATCACTTAAATGGAGTAAGATAGCACCAGTTCTTCAGCATCCCAAACCTGAGAATGCTTCTTCCGTAAAACAACCAGAAATGAGAAACTCCGGTCCTGGAGTGGAGAGTTCAGCTCCGTCCCCAGTCAAACAAACACATTTAGGCCTAAATTGAAGAGTTATGCATTTGAATTGCGTATCAAATTTCCATCCAGTTGTTTTATACAGTTTTAACATCAACTAATAAACTGTGATGCACTCAAAATGCAGATTTCGGCACTCAAAAAAAATCATGGCACAGTTTATTTGTAACTCTTTGCATCCATTTGATTTGATCTAAATATGAATATTTTCAAAATGCATTAATTGATTTTGCTCAGAATAAGCATAAATCTGTTCATGGTGAAAACAATTACATTTATTATAAGTATGAACATGGTTAAAATATGATTACCTCTGGAACAAGCAATAATCAGCTAGTTAGAATGTATGAGATTGAAACACATTAAATGTAACGATCATAAATATATAAACCTGGTTACTGTGTATTCAGTTTAGAAATCTTACCCGTTTCATTGAAGTATAACTGACAAATATGTATCGCATTGACGCTACTAGCAGTCCAAATGCACAGACATTTTATATGCAATTCAAATATGTAAATCTCAGATTTAAACATAAATATTTTTAGAATGCAACTGACTGTAATTTTCAAGACTTTGGTTTGGTGTGTTCGATTAGTGATAAGAGCTGAACTCTGCAGGAAAGTGGCCCTCCAGGACCGGAGCCGCCCATCCTCGTGAACACTTTGGGTAGTCGCCTCCCGGTTAACATGCCTGAGGAGGAAAACAGGGCCCCAACATTCATCTGTTCAAACACTTTTTAAGGCAGTGTATTTTTGGTTCTTTGTTTAGGGCATCTGAGGATATGCAAACAAAAATACCAATACATGACAAACAACAAAAAACCCTGAAACGCAACTATCGTACAAATGGAGGCATGAGCTCAAGGTCACATTGGTTAAGTGTCCCGAGGTTATACGTGGCGCTCGTTATCCTGCGGTTGTGACGGCTGGTTGAGGCACACGGGGCAGCATGAGCCTTTGGGCATCACTGGCTTCAGACATGCTGTCTGCGGACACTTTTCCACGAAACACGTCACCTGGGCCTCCTAACAGAGACAGAGACAGAGACACAGGAACACCTGAGCTGTAAATGGGTCAATATTTCTGCAGGAATCATCACAGGTATGTGCCTTTCTTTTACTTGTGGATTATTGTGGTGTTTTTATCAGCTGTTTGGACTCTCATTCTGACGGCACCCATTCACTGCAGATGATCCACTGGTGAGCAAGTGATGCAATGCTAAATTGCTAATGCTAAATTTCTCCAAATCTGTTCACACGAAGAAACAAACTCATCTACATCTTGGTGGCCTGAGGATGGGTGAACTATAACATTTTTGGGTGAACTATTCCTTTAAACTACATGTGATTGACTGCAGATTCTATCCCAGATTGAGTTATAATGTTACAATGACACACAGTACCATGTGAGGGCATTTTTCAGTTTTTGACAGCTAAAGTTCCCCCCCAGTTTGTCTACTGATCTATCTATCAACAATTCGAAGTACATGAGAGTGCTAGAATCCTGCATATTCATTTGCAGTGAGATAAAGTAAACACAGATGTAACAGATATTTCACATCCAAAACGAACACTCAATAAGTGCCAAAAGTGAGTAGAATTTGGCATTATTGAGTACATAAAATCTTCTCAATGAGTCATTTGGTAAATCATAAATAAACTATTGCAAATGATTTTCAACACAGCCTAGTGAAACTTAAAAGTGTGTAATACAGTTGAAAATCCATTGTTTTTGTTTATGTTAAAATCAATAACAACGCTTGAGTCTCTGCTACACTACATACTCCACTTTCCTGTAACCCTGCAATTCAGCATTGAAGGTTGCATTTTTTGTAATGAATCACACGGTCAAGACTGTTTGATACAGTCAGAAAAACAATGCTACTGTACAAGCAATTCTGTAATCCTGAACCAAAGCCAGTTGAGAATCACTGCTTGAGATAAGTCAAATGTTTCTGTGTCTAGAGTTCACAATACCCTGAACATTGGTACATTGTGTAAAACTACCGTGTTCACATGCTCATGAATGCAAGTAAAAAATGCAGCACAGTCTACATGTCAGAAATGCTCAATGCACTGATAAACTTACATGACACTGACAGGTGGTGCAGGGGTTCTTCTTCCAACTCTCTCCATCTACTCGCTCTCTCCCGTCCTCATCTGCACAGTCTGTCCTGCTCAGACGGCCTTCAAGTCTTTTTATCTGTCAGTTCCAACAGTGAGAAATTGTTTAAAATGTCTACTCTATGCATTACAATAAATGCTACAGTATATTCTGTTTTAAAGCACCATACTATACTGATTCATATTATAATGTGTGGGAGTGAAAGGCAATGGCAATAAAATGACTACTTTATTAATTGTTATAAAAGTTATTAATTGTGAATGAGCAGTTACCTTTTACAAACAGGTGGTATAGAGTATAATCGGGTATTTTGCAACATCTTTTGTTCTGCTAATTCACTGCTTTATCTGATATCGGATAGACTTGAAAACATCTATTGTGAAGTGGACAAAGAAAATATGGAAGCTATTTTTAATATCACTGTGACTGCCTTGTGTTATTAATCAAAAGAAGTGTCTGGAAAGTTTGATTCTTGGCCTGTTGCACATTTTCAGCATCTCGGCATCACCGCCAAACGCTTGTGTCTGAGCAGATGGCGATCGTCCTTATCTATTCAGTTTACCAACAAAAGTCAATTCATTCACAAATTTCTGCGACTGGATTTTCACAAGGTTTATATAAACGGATAACAGAAGTATATAGTGCAGCTTGGCATTGCATTGCACCAAGTGAATCATGAGTCCTAACCTGTTTTCGTAAACTTGTGATAGTTTTCTGCATGTCAGCAACAAAGTCTTGGAAATCCTTAATGGAGGGTTCAGTGCTTGACTTTGGTGATACAGTTATGTTTACTGCAGTTAGAGCTTCTTCCAAAGCGCTGAAAAACAGAAATCATTAAAAGTATGATTGATTGATATATAAGCTTTAACAATTTAAATTATGCATTATTTGTTATTACTACAATAGACACTTTTCACAGACTGTGATGACGTTTCCACAGTTATTTTCATAAAAAAAAAAAATGTAGATTTGATATAGTAAAACACTATACTTTCTGTTATCACCTTGGCATTAAATTTCAGAAAACGGGTTATTCTTTTCATCTTTTAGAAAGACATACACTGTAAAAAATGACCGTGAATTTAACTGTAAAAGACTGTAAAAATGCTACAGTAAAAACCTGTTAAATGGCTAACTACTACATACGGTGAAAAACGTCTCGGGTTACTTATGTAACCATGGTTCCCTGAGGGGAACGAGACACTGCTTTTGTGCCATGCTGCGGACACAAGCTTCAGACGAAGAAGTGATGATGTGCGCTACCGGCGCCTATTTTGTACTAGTTGCGACGGTAGTGACGTCATGGCTGTCGCCGGCCAAACAAGTTGGTGTTTTTTCAATGTAGGCTTCAGACACGGGTCACGACGAGGCGTTCCCCATAGCGACCCCTAGAGGACGCAGTTCGAAGTTCCACGAAAGGGAACTGTAGTGGACATTACATGTGATTTTACGGTAGTATACCGTTTTTGAAAGTGCAAATGACCGTATAATTTACAGTGAATAACCGTAAATTGAAAGCGTTACATTTCAAATGTGATGGTTTTTGTTGTTGTTGAAATAACTGTTTCTTCTTAGTTTTTTCTAATCAGTTTTGTATATTAAGGTTGTGTGTTACACCTAATGTTGTTAAATTAATTTTTATAGAATTATTTCAGTTTCATGTGTGTCACCGTGATGGTGTTTAGTGTTTGTGTGAATGACACTGTGCACCTTCTATATATGTTATTATTTAAAAGCTGCTTGTGATGGGCTTTTGTTCATCAAGTGACTTTCTCATCACCTCCTGCATTTGGTGGTTATCAGTTTATTACAAAGGTACAAAACAGATTTCAGTACGTCAATAGGTTGGTACATTAACATTATATCAGTTAATGAAATTACGGTATTTAACTGTAAATTTACGTTAAAACGGTAAAACCTAAAACGTCGCTACCTTATTTTTTACGGTAAAATTCCGGCAACCACAGCTGCCGTTTTTTTACCGTAAATTTTACAGATTTTTTTTTACAGTCTAATTTCTGTTCACCACTATAGAAGTTTACAGAACTTTGGGCCAGTGCAAACCGTCTTTTGGTGTTAAAATAGTACTGTCAGGATTTACTAAAGACGTGCAGTGAAGAATTAGCACAAACGGCGTGGGCACAGTTATTTTTGCGCCTGACCTTATTGAATATGCATTTGTAGGAGTTCCCTTTCAGACGCAAAATTTATTCAGGAAGAGAGTATTCAAATGAAACACGCAACGTGTACTAACGTCTGCGCTCGTCAAATTACTGGTATTTGTGCCATTATTTAACGTCCAAAAAAAGCATGTCTTAAAGCAGGCGGTAATTTGCGCTGCTCTTGGTAGATTGTGCTGGTCATTATGGAAATCAGATGTTGCGTCTGTGTTCTTTAATGTGAACCTTGCCAGTAAATCACACGCAGAATTATTTTCCCCTCCCATCGGCGCTTTTATGGAATTGCGCTCTAATGCTAATTTGCCCTGTTTAGTAAATCTGGCCCTATGACTTGTTTCTGAGAATCCTGGAAATGTGAAAAGGATCCATTATCAGTAATGCTATGAGAATTTACAAATGATCTTTGGTGAAATGCAGAAATTAAATGGAGCATGTGAGTTGTACCTGCTGTTGTCGGTGAGGTTGCTGGCAGGTTTCTCCTCTGCATAGCTGTGCTCGGCTGACCTGCGGCCTCTGAAGTGGTACGACAGGGCGTTGAACTGACCTTTAGTACGGCAGTCTGCAGGTGCAAGAAATTCAGCCTTTATTTGAAGCAGAAAAAAACAGCTGTACAAAAGACTAGACAGCTTATACTATGGTCATTTACAGCACTGACAAATTAAAGCGGTCAATGATTGCAAAGCATTGTACAGTGGAGCTGTGAGTTGAATTACTTCAGAAACAGAAATGCTTATAATGTAGTGGTTTCGTGTGTGTCTGTGTGTGCTATGACTGATGAAGGGAGCTTATTAATATAGAACAGTGTTTTAGCTACCTCAGCATTACAGAGTTTTAATAGACACCTTCCAGCCAGTCAGAGTATTCAGATAGACTATGGTATAATTATTATTTAAATCTTACATTTTACACAATGAAAAATGAAACAAAACTATTCAATATTAATGAAGAGGAATATGAAAATGAAGAAAAGATAGAGCACAAATGTCAAAGACATTCTGTAAAAAACATACAATCACAAAAGAATAAATAATTCAGTGTATATGTGCATATACAAGCAAGTCTAGCTGAAATTATTCAATAATTAAATTAAAAGCAACACAAAACGTATTATAAGGCCTTAGTGAGAATACTGCAGTTGAAAACAGTGATTTGATGCTGATTATGCTGTTTACGTTGGGTTTTGAATGCCTTTTCTATGATAGATATCCTATCCTACATAGATATGTTCCTGTGGCCCAGTGGTAGAGCATTGTATTAACAGCGCAAAAGGTCGTGGGTTCGATTCCCAGGGAACACACATACTGGTAAAAAATATATAGCCTGAATGCACTGTAAGTCTGCTAAATGCATATATTATTAGATTTAAAATAATCAGAAATGTTTCTTGAGCTGCAAACCAGCATATGAAAATGATTTCTGAAGGATCATGTGACACTGAAGACTGGAGTAATGATGCTGAAAATACACAATTACATTTTAACATCCATATTCACATATATAAAAAAGATTAAAACAGTAATATTGTGAAATACTATTACAACTGTTTTCTATGTATATCAAATAAATGCATCCTTGGTGAGCATAAGAGATGTCTTTGAAAAACATGAAAAGTCTTAAACATTCCCAACTGACTGATAGAATATAAGATGTGAGTCATGGTAAACCGAGTCTCGTACCTTCACAGCAGTCCTGCCACATACGGAGGTCAATCTTTGGTAAATCGTCACAGCTTCCATAACCGTGAGGGAATTTAGCCACGCTAAAGACATCTGACTGGACTCGGGTGATGTTGTCACTATTGTCACACAGCACCCGGGCGAGAGACGTCTGCTTCAGTTGCGTCAACTGAGCAGGGCTAAAGGACCCAGGGTTCTCATACCAAAACCTATAATTACATAAAGTGAAGTTGATTAATTGATTTAACCGTGTCTGGGATCATGATTAAAATGCAGTGGCTGCCTCTAATTTCAAATGTCTAGAGATCATTTTGTTTAAGGCCAGTTTGCTTGTTATAGAGCAAATAATATGGAAGACAAATGTTTTTGGAACAAAAAAGCACGTTGAATTGCACTAACTGAAAAAAGAATGCATTGCGTTAACAGTGCTTGCATTTTTAGTGGCTGAAATCCAACATAGTTGTATATTTAAGCTGTGAATATTTCAATTCAAAACATTTCACACACATTTTCATGATTAAAAATTCAATAATTCATATTCACCTTCTAGAGTTCACTTCCAAAATATTCAATCTGTTTAAAAATACGATGTATACTATTTGACAGGCAATTTTCGGTCCATTTTATTTCACTTTACAAATTCGCTTCCACAAATTCAGTGGTTAAAATTCGGCATTGCACATCCGGGAACTGCATGAATAGCAGTAGAGCACCGATGCATGATCTCCAGCTGCTGTCAGTCGCTCACCAGCAGGTGGCGCAAGCGGCTGTTGATAAAAACCAAAACAACCGGTAGCGCAAGTCATTCATTCATTCATAAAAGCTGATTTGCAGGAATGGAGCAAGCGGTAAGTAGAAGTGATGATAATCAGGGCCGGTATGTAGCCTATATGCGGAAAAGCTGATTGTGTTTACGTTTAATTCAACATCTTCGCTGTTACTCGTTTAGCCTGCATGTAAGCAGGTTTCTCTATCGCAAAGGAGATTATAATGCTATTTTAACCGATGCTGACGCTGTACAGAACTAACATTACATTGGAGGAAGACATATATTGATTTTGGTTGCTTATTTCCCTTAACTTTGTATCATGGCTTGTGTGACGCTGAGTTCCCCTCATACGTCACACTCCAGGATTCCCCAACGACACGTAACGTGAAAAATGCATAACGCACGACAGTGAACTAATGCAGTGATATAAGAAGACCAAACTTACACCTTACCGATGATGCAAACTATATACAGGCAAGCAAATGAGGCGAGAAGAACGCAATGTGCTGCATTTTCTTTATAATCGTCGCTTTTCTATCGCCGTTAGTTTTAGGATCGATATTCGCCCGACATTCGCTTTCTCTTGCTACACTGATATAGAGTCAACAGTCCTACAAATATATCACTACCACGATTAGTTTTAACAATATGCAGCCACTTTATATCGACATAAAAAAAAAATGTCAAACCCGCCTATGTGTATTGTAGCTGCATATTTAAACAGGAGAAAGCTTTGACGCGCTATCTCAAGCCATGCCCAAGGGACCGTCTGACAGTTCCACCGACTGGGTTCAAACGTTCAATGTATTGTAATTCAAATGACTTTTAACATTTAAAATTACACACTGTCAATGTATTACTCATAGTGTAATATCCCTATACTCAAACACAGTACACAATTATGGTCATAAAAAGTCCCCTAAAGGCTTTTTTTCGTGTTCCTAAAGGTTGTAGTATGTTGCTAGTGTCCAGGTTGACTTACTACAGGTGAGATTTTGCCTTCATATATGTACAGTACACAATTATTTTAATAAAAAAAAGTTACAGTAAGTCCCTGAAAGGATTTTAATTTAGTACATTGCTAGATACTAGACGACTTACTGCAGGTGAGATTTTGCCAATACCTCCCTTACTGTATGTACAGTACACAATTATTAAAAAAATACTGTAAGTCCCCAAGAGTGTTTTCATGTTATATCTGTGTACTGTACTGTGATAAAATATCTGTGTACTGTAAGGGAGGTATTGGCAAAAATTCACCTATAGTAAGTCATTCTAGTCACTAGGAATGTACTACAACCTTTAGAACATGGGAAAAAAACATTAGGTGAATAATTATATACTGTATGTACAGTAAGAAAGATATTGGCACAATTTTAGTCTGATCACTAGGAACATACAATATTTGGAACACAAAAAACTCAATTTTGATGAATTAGGCTACTTTTTGTTCTTAAAAATACACTGGGTACTTTACATACTTAGGGGAAGTATTGTCTAAGGCGAGAAATTGGCAATATACAGCATATTTAGTCATTTTGCCCTCTTTACTATAGCCTTGTAAACATTCATTTGAATGAATTATTGTACTTCGTTTTGTACTGTGTAAACTGGTAAATTTGCAGATGGTCCCTACAGCAGTCTAGACCAGAGCATGTGAGCGAGGAATGTACTACAACCTTTAGAACATGGGAAAAAAACATTAGGTGAATAATTATATACTGTATGTACAGTAAGAAAGATATTGGCACAATTTTAGTCTGATCACTAGGAACATACAATATTTGGAACACAAAAAACTCAATTTTGATGAATTAGGCTACTTTTTTTTCTTAAAAATACACTGTGTACTTTACATACTTAGGGGAAGTATTGTCTAAGGCGAGAAATTGGCAATATACAGCATATTTAGTCATTTTGCCCTCTTTACTATAGCCTTGTAAACATTCATTTGAATGAATTATTGTACTTCGTTTTGTACTGTGTAAACTGGTAAATTTGCAGATGGTCCCTACAGCAGTCTAGACGAATATGCTGCGAATATCAAACCTAAAACTAACTTTGTGCTTGGTTTTCTATAGGAGAAAAAGGCTTAGGTAAAACTTTGTGGGTTGTGTTAATATGGGCTCACCTGCTTAACTATACATAGTATATTTTATTAATTAGATACCGAATTTGGTCATTTATTATCAATGTCTTATAATCAAGGCAATAAACGTTAGTGTTTTCTTTATGGAAAATGTTTAAAGTGCAGTTTTGCACATTGTGCAAATTGAAATTGAAATATTCACAGCTTAAATATACAACTATGTTGGATTTCAGCCCCTAAAAATGCAAGCCCTGAAAATACAAGGCATTAAAATGCAAGCACTGTTAATGCAATGCATTATTTTTTCAGTTAGTGCAATTCTACGTAGATGACCACTGCTGTATGTACCATAGCAAATCTCAACAGCTTGATTGTATATATTGTCGAAAAAATTTAAACTATATGTAAACAATATATTAAAAGTTGGATATATAGTACATCCTATTTTACCAACATACATACTGTATACTCATGTAGGACGATATATACTATATAGCAAATCTCAACTGCTTAATCACTTGTATTATCGCAAAATGTAAACTATATTATCACCTAGCTGTAATCTGCTAAACTTGACTAGAAGGTAGGAATATAAGATATTATAAACAAGAACATCATAATTTTTGGAAAGCTGCTTTGAAACAATAGGGCTTCTCATACTCTAAACCCAGGTAAACATAATTCTGCTTCACGTTTCACACTGCTCACAATTTATCTGCGGATAATGTTCTTATTTGCTGTGTCAGTGTCATTGATTGAAAGAAAGTAGCAATACATGTTTACATAAAATTTTACATTGCGCATCCATATTTTATATATTGCAAATTGTTAAATTGTCTAGACAATTGTTGCAAACTGCTATCACTGCTCCGGAGCAGGCTTTCATAACATAAAACTTGTCTAAATTACAAGTGTGAAGCATGCCTTAAGCCGAGGTTAAAAATGGGGTTTATAATCACGATAACCCAGGGTTACGCGCAGTGTGAAAAGCCCTAATGTGTATTATGAAAAAAAACTATAAAAATAAGTTTGAAATTTGGAAAAAATAAAGAAGCAATTTGAGAGGAACAAGGCCAGGTCTTACCGGTCACCATCTCTGAGACGCTTGAATTGGGTTGCCAGTAAACACATGAGGGTCGGTCCCAGTCTGCTGCCAGGCACCAGCTCTTCAGCCATCAGCGCAGGAAACAGGTCAATATTCTGAGGTGTGCCATACAGCCTGGGAGCAGAACAGACCATTACACCCAGAAAATGCTGAATGCGTCTTTCAATGACATGTGATATAGAACGAGACCTAACCTTTGAAGCTTTTCTCGCACGCTGGGGTTCTGAATCTCATTCCTTAGATCATCAAATGTCTGCGCGGACGTCAGGTTGCAGAACACCCGGTAGTCATTGTAAGGTGGCATACCGTGGTCACGTCCCCTTTGGATATTCATGGCAGCAAGGTCAAGCGCCACGGAGTGCGCCATCGAGAAAAGGCGTTCGGTAAGTTCGGTGTTAAGCAGTTGAGTGGACACTCGCATTTTCCCCGCCACTCCAAACAAGCCACGGAGCAGAGGATCGATGCCTCCTTCGTTCACAATACGGAAAGGTGAGAAAAAAGCCTTATGCAGCGAAATGTGTCCTTGCTGGATGGGCTGAAAGTTTTCGTCGAGCCGGTACAGAATGGGGTTAATGAGCGTATGGCCAAAGCGGAAGGCAGCAGTGGCAAAAGCATTGAGGATGCCAGCATTAATATTGGGATTATAGCCATTATAGTCACCCATTAGCCTCATGCCAGCCTCGCCCAGTATTTTGGGCAACCAATGGCTGTAGGTTATATGCTGCATTTGGGCTCCGACTATCTTTCGTGCCTCATGGTAAATGGTGTCGCCATCCCAATGGGGGTTGAGACGTAGCAACTCGCTGGCTATGCGGTTATGTTCACGAAACCAAACCGTGTGCATAGCCGTCAACCCAAGCTGCTCATTTGCACGATGGTCCCCAGCTAGGAAGCAAGGAATGGGACTTTCGTTTTCGTCCCGCATGCACTCTGTTGGTGGGCCAGTTGCAAAGGGGAGCAATGGCTTGCCGGTGCGTTGCACAATACCCTGCCGCAACATGCCCCGATGGCTGGCCAAGTCACGGATCTCTTCTGTCTCATGCTGTGAGCTGCCGTAAACATTGGAGGCATCGATGTAGGAGGTGAGCTGGTTCATCTGCTCGCGTGGATACACAGAGTTCATAAGCAGAGAGGTCATTCCACTGCCGCAAACAGGACTAGAGCGCACAAAGAACATGCAACGTGCTCCGTTGCGCCGCTGCCGATGATCGTCAGGAGGGAACATGATTGGAAAACAAGGTGGGTCATTGGTGCACACCGAGGTACACAACTGTCCATCAGAGAAACGAGACTGGCTGAGGGATACAACGGTTGAATCCAGGTCGTGGTCAAGGAACTGGCCCCATTGCATAAGCATGTGTGTGTAGCGATCATCTGGGGTGATGGTCTCCGTCCCAATCATGGTGGTGGAGACCAGGCGTGGAAGAGGCAGAGGGAAGCTGTTATGCCTTCGTTCAGTGGCGCCACGCGGGAGATTGAAGCCATTGTCATAGACGGGCTTTAGTAAGCGCTCAAAAGCAGTGAGTGAGGCGCCCCACATAGGGTGCTGCAGGTTGTTGCAAGTGCCATCGTGGGTGCGATACTTCTGGTGGAAGCAGATATCTGAGCAATTGTTGAAGCGTCGATGGGCCGTGCAGCCAGACAGGTTAGCTATCATATCCAGGAAACGTGGCGACACCAAGTCATTGTAGCGGTAGGCTGTTAAGAAAGAAGGTACGAAAGAGTGAAAATGTCACTTGTAAAAATCACTCTGATCTCAGTTTAAAAAAAAAGGTGCTGGACTACTACTATTTTGTAAAGTGACAAATACAGTTGAAATTAATGGCTCTAAAGGGATAGTTTAGAGAATTTTGTCATCATTTACTCACTCCCATGTAATTCTAAACCCATCAGACTTTGGTTAATCATTGAAAAACTAATGAGGATTTTTTAAATGAAATCTTGGATCTCCATTGAAAGTTCAAGTAATCAAAACTTAGGAGATCTGAAAAATGAAATCCACATGTATTGAGTGTTTAAAAAAAAAAAATCTAAGTCATGTGATTAATTTAGGGTTTAATTTACATCTGAACAATGATCGACACACATAGATTGAGAACATCACATATGGTAAACACAGAAGCTCAAACACACACGTTTATGATGCACACGTTTCTGTTTTTATCATATGTGATTCACTATGTATGTGTGCCAAAAAAAAAAAAAAAAAACGCTTCGTATAGATTTGGATAATTCATATAGATTCATTTTATGATGCCTTTATGACCTTTTTGGATCTTTTGGACCTTTTGGTTACCTAGACTTTCAATGAAGGGACAAAAACCTTTTTTGAAAAAAGACATTTGTCAAAAAAAATTTTGTTTCAAAGATTAACCAAAGACTTATGTGTTTGAAACAGCATGAGAGTGAGTAAATCATGTCATAATTTAAATTTTTGGGTGAACTATCCCTTTAAGAGGGCACTTTAGTCTCATCCTCAAGCAATAACTGGACAAAACTGGTTCCAATCGGACTGTCTCACAGCTATACCGTTACACTGGTTATTAACAGTCTGGTAAGAAAGTTGTGTTGATATAATGTGAACTAATTAGATGGAAAGTGGACCAGACCCTATTATGATGGTTAAATTCTGATTTAAAAAAATGCTGAAATTCTGATCAGCAATAGATGCAAGTAATTGTGCCTGTTGACCCCTTCTTGGTACTTGTGTCAGTGAATGTGTCCAGAGGGTAAATGCTCAGATTGGGGCAGGGCTTGTCCAAACATGTGAGGCCATTTTGCCTTAGTGTGGCGATGAAAGCTGTGCTGTTGTCATAACCAGAAAAAACAGTGACCCATGTCTTCTGCAGCAGAAAGCGCCACAGTGTCTGCTGATTATTTAGTAAAGCAGACATTTGCCATATACTAGTTGCATAATGAATCACCATAGCAAAAATCTCTCATTTGAAAAGCAGAATGTTGGTGTGAGATACCTGTTCCATTAGTGTCCACCATGAGGCCCTGATTCACATGCCTCTGGATGAGAAGTAGGGTCTGCTCAAAAATCTCTCCAGCTCTGGCCTGCTCCACTGTGTAGGGGTCCCGGGGGTAACGAAACAGAGCCAGAAGCTCGGCAGGGGTACGAGGAGATCTGATGATGGTGGAGAACACATTAACTTCCACATTCACAAAAGCCATTCAGACTCACTCTGGAAGAGAATACATATTAGCAAACTGCAGACCTGCATTACATCTAACAGATAAGTAGATCAATCTCATAGCGCAATCTCATAATTTCTTATTAATCAATTCAAAACTTTTTTTCAAACTGTGGACAGTGGACAGGCAAGACACCCCTGGTAAATAGGGTAAAAATTAATTTAATAGATGTCACCATGTTTTCCCCTATTGATTGATTATATGTGACCCTGGATCACAAAAGCAGTCTTAAGTAGCACAGGTATATTTTTAGCAATAGCCAACAATACATTGCATGTGTCAAAACTGATCAAAATCGATTTAGCCAAAATCATTAGGATATTAAGTAAACAATAAAGACCAGTGACATGTCAATAAGTTACATTTTAAAAGCTGACTACAAATAACAGCCTACCTACCTAAATTCAGTTATTTATGTCAGAATAACTACAAACTAATTTAGTGTTTACTAGGGTTATTTGAGAGAACCATACCAAACAATGAATAAGCGTTTTGCCAGAATCAACAATAAGCATTTGCTCCAAGGCTGTTGGTGTCGATTCAAACAAAAGCTAAAGAACATCAAAGCCGTCAGCATTAATATAATTTTTATCATTCAGAGAGTTGGCTTCACTTCACATATTATCTCTTGTGAACTAAGAAGGTGCCAAGTTATAACAATATATCTGTGGTCATTTGTGCCAAAAACATTGACAGGTTTTTTTTTCACCCATGACCAGTTGTTTTGGACTGCATAAATTCAATAAGCATGCTTTAATGTCTTGGCAAGCTTAGTCAAAATGTCAACTAACTTTGTAATTTAAAATTTAAAACAGTCATGTGAGGAAAAATGACATCAGTTTTGTAATTCCAAATCTAATCTTTGGCAATCTCTCTTTACTATGATAACATATCTCCATTAGACTTCATTCAAAAGCATTTGTCTTTGAAGCAGTCCTCTCCAGTTATGAAACACACACACTCTCAGTGAGCTAAAGTGAGCTGGCACTGGCCTCGACAGACAAAATAACCCCCTAACATCAAGCTCAGAGCGCAGAGTTCCCTTGCAGTGATAAATTAGGAATCATACCGCAGTGACCAGCCCTTGTCTAAGGCATAAATGCTCCCAGTAAATTCCTGATGGGTTACGGCACTGTGACTCACAGCAGAAGAAATTGTTTTCTTGGCATGTTTTGCCTGTAGCACCAAACGCTTACCCGTCAAAGAGCTGCCTCCTGGTGGAGTCTATTGCGCTGTTTATGCTCCGAATGGCCTCTTCAAGAGACGTCGAGACAAACGGATCACCCTCCCTGCTCACTTGCGGGACTGGAGAAAATGATACAAAAATCAGTATAAATAAAAGCTTGTGAATTGGAGTTTAGAAGGAAATTTTAAGCTGCACACGTGATGAAAGACTGAACAGAAGTTCCATTCGTTAACTGGAGCTTTAATTAACAGTGACTTAAAATGTTAAATCATGCAATTATTTAAAAATACAACTTAATTAATTGCATGATATGCCAATAAATTAATCAAATGAATCACATATCAAATGCTTGCTGAGAAGTCTCCAAATTAAGAAAATCTAATGCATTACATTATTTTCACAGATGAGTGAATAAACATTACAACAAGTGTAAGACCCTCGTAGAGATTTAGACAAGTGGAGCTGGGGGAGGTGGAGGGTCCAATCGTGCAGGACCAGCTAACAGTAAACAATGAGACAGACTATTCAAATGTTAAGCAAGTGACCTCATTGGCTACAGATCCAGCAGAGGCCAATCAGCTTGTGCTATTTAGTATTACTAGCAAATTACAGGTTTTTTTCAACTTCATGCTGTGCTATGTAGGCCGATCAGCATCTGACTTGAAGCTGTGCATCGTGGTTAGAAATTTTGTTAACTTGAGACAGCACCGAGCTTGGAGCTCGAATAGCGACACAGCTGTTTCACAATTGGCAGGATTCTCAAATGAAGATGAGTTTTTACTGTTATGAAAAAAAAAACTAAGTATGCAGTGGAAAAATACACAGTTTTGTGTTTATTCTGCTAATGCTCACAAATCCATGTTTTTATAACAGTAGAAACTCTTTCATGTTATTTGTGTCATGTTTATCAAAATAAGATGAATAAAAAGTCCACACTTTATTGGTGTTTAAATAGTCTTATGTCCTATATGCTTATGTTTACTTTATTCCTGTACATAAAGGCACATACTGTGTAAGCAGTACGAAGTTTTGACTGAAAAGGGTTTCTGATGCTACATGAAAACATCTGAAACGTCTGTGTATCTGGAAAATATCAAATATAATTTTTTTTTTTACAATATTTAAAATATTTAGTTATGATAAAGTATGCAAACACTGTATAAGTGTCATTATGAGGAGCAGCAAATGTCCAACTTCACATCTCTGTTTTTAACTTTCCCATCTGCAAGTGGCAAATCTCGTTGATCGGTTAAATCCAGTTAAACACACTTTACATATCAAGGAGCTATCAGTTTGAGCCAGTCTACATTTTCATGAATTAATCGTTAATTTCAACATGAAAAAATGTGCCTAGATCTCCATACTCATTTTGTTATGTTCCATCCAACTATGTTTGAACGCAAAAAGCATTATTCCAGTTTGTTCTTCAATGGTCAATCCTCACTACATTTGACCACCCTCCCACCTCAAAATCCTCAATATGTGTTTACAGCCTTCAATTCTTACCTTGCACTGTTAGCACCATACTAGATGAGGAATATCCAATGGAGTTGCGGGCTACACACTCATAACGTCCCCCATCGGCAAGCCCCACGTCATGCACTTCCAGATAGCCATCTGGACTGATATGAAACTTCCCACTCTCTGTAATCTGGACTCCATCCTGTTGATCAGGACCAGAGATTGTTTAAATGAGTCTGGTCACAAACCCAGGATAGTCCCATGGGGACCAAAGTGGTGGAAATGGATGGATTGGCCAGTTGTTAGGGAATGTGGCAGCTAATGGATCTAACCTTGCTCCATGTGATGATAGGTGTGGGCTCACCCTGCGCACTGCACGGAATCTGGACATCTGATCCAGACTCCACAGTCGTATCCCTTGGAGCACTTGTGAAAACAGGCGTTACTGGTGATGTAAAACCATATGTTAATGATTACAGCGCACAAAAACGCAGCTAAATCTATCATGAGTCATGCACATAATGTACAACATGAAAAGAACACGCACAGGTCATACATGGTGCTAAGATCTTGCCGACTGTCAGGGTTCTGTAATTATAAAATCTATGAAAGGGCAAGAGGTTGAGTCTGAGAGAGGCATATGTGAGTCTTCAAGGCCAAAATGGATTGGTTTGTTTAAAGAGCTTTATCCAAACAAGGTGGTGCTGAGGTCCTTAAAGGGATAGTTCAGCTTGCTGTTAATTTACTCATCCTCAGGCCATCCAAAATGTAGGTGACTTTTGAGCGAACTATCCTTTAAGTTATTAAAAACTAGTGCATAATTACCCCATTTTACAGTTGCTCTATAATAATCTATAAGAATTTGCCATCAACTACTATATATATATATATATACACAGGTATATATTTATTTATTATTTTTTTCCGTAGAGATGGAAAATTACATTTTAAATCTTGTTTTGTTAAAAATATATCAAAATGAGGTGAGTTCTTGCTAAAAATAAAAGAAGAATCTACCAATGGGGTAAGAAAAATAAACTTAGTTTAAAGGGAAAACAAGGTTCTTTTTCTTGTTAAGCAAAAACTCACTTAATTTCTTATTTAATTTTATTTTTCACGTTCAGTTCTGCTCACAAGTTCACATACCCCTTGCAGACTATGCAAAATGTTTATAATGTTAACAAAATGGCATGTTATTTTTCTTATTTAGTACTGTCCTGAATAAGCTATTTCACATAAGAGATGTTCACATATACTTCACAAGACAAACAAACTGAATTTATAGAAATGACCCTGTTCAAATGTTTACATACCCTTGAATCTTAATACCGTGTCGTTATCTGGATGATTAGTGTCTGTTTTTATGTTTTGTGAAAGTTGTTCACGAGTCCCTTTTTTTTTGAGCAGTTCAACTTCCGACTGCTCTTTAGAAAAATTCCAAGTCCTGCACATTCTTTGGTTTTCCAGCATCTTCTGCATATTTGATCCCTTTCCAACTGTGACTTTGATTTTGGGATCCATCTTTTCACACTGAGCGTGCAATTTTTACAATTCTTCTTATTTTGTTAAAATTATTAACATTTTGCATATTCCACAAGAGGTGTGTGAACTTATGAGCAGAACTGTAAATGTGTCTCAATTTAAGAACGTTTAGATATTTTTACTGGAAAACAAGACAACATTTTTTGCAGTGCTCATGTTGATTTCTTTCTGCATCATTTTGGGTTATCTATTCCTTCCATGAATTCCTAAACTTTCATTTAGTCTGTACTCACTCTTTCTGCAGCTGTTATAACTAGTAGAATTTCTCACAACTCTCTCCATTTCTTCAGATACTTCCTGTAAACCTGTTCTAAATAAAAGCGACCATGAGCCAAACCTGTGTCTGGGGTTTGAAGTAAATACAGGCGGTTGTTATGCAGTGTGTTAACAACCATTACTACATGGAAACATCTTGCCATGTGGGAATTTCAAAGCTGCATGCTTTCCTGGCTATTCCACAAGTCTGTAATAAAGCTTAAGAGGTGGTTTTTAAGGCACTTACATGCAGGGACCGGGTCTTATGTCTGTCATTGAGACTTTACGGGGGTATTGTTGTTCTAATTGAAGGCTTTGCTGGTGGGTAAATGACAAATTAGTTTATGAAGCCAACCCTCCTTCCCTCCTGTTAATGCCATGTCTAGTCTTGTTCTGAAGGACCGTTGAATGAAGAATTGACTTACAGTTTATGGTGTTAGGGGCTTGTTTTACGCTATACTGAAGTAACATGGAGTAACATAAATGCTGTGTCCCAAACACGTCAAGATGAGGCAGACATTAAATGGAGTTCATTTGTTTACGGTTGAGGAGTAATGTCGTATCTCATTGCATTAATATATAGCACATGTGATGTGCGCATGTCAGAAATGAGAACTTATTAGATTTACTCTTTTGAATCTTTTGCAGGGTTACTATTGTTAACTAAAACCATAACTATTGTTATTTGAAATAAAATAAACGCTAACTGAAATAAAACTAATAAAAAAAAAATAAAAAAAAATGTTCATTTAGTTTAAGTTGAAGTACTAAAATAACTACAATTACATAAACTAAAACTAATAAAGCAACATTTATAAATATCTGTAACATGGGGTTTTGGGTTTTGTTTCATGTTCATGTTTTCATGTTTTCATGTCTTTTATTTTGGAGTTTAGTCACGGCCCTTGTTCTGTCATGTGATTCTCTTGTGTTCTGATTGGTTCATGTGTCATGTTCTCATTGGTTGTCTTAGTCATGTGTCCTGTCTCTCATTGATTGGTTATTGTCATGTGACCTGCATTGTTTGATATAAATAGCACTCATGAACTGTGTAACCTGCTGTTGGTGAGTTTGTATTTCTGTTCATGCTGAGTCAAATCTGTTTAGAAGGCAGAAAGAGCTTTATTGCCAAGTATGTTTGCACATAAAATTAATTTGCTTTAGTGTCACAAGCTTCCAGTACACAGAGATAATAATAAATAAAAAAAAGGTGTGAATAAAATACACATGCATAAATATAAATAAACCATAAAAAAAATAAATTGTATGTACAGGTGTGCTATAGATAGAATAGGGTTATTGCACAATGGGAGAACATTAACTGTCCATGAGGTAGTGCCTGGCTGTCCTGGTATTCGGTGCTCTGTAGCGCCAACCAGATGGCAAAAACGTTCAAAAAGGAGATGACTTGGATGTGAGGGATCCAGAGTGATTTTCTGAGCCCTTTTCCTCACTCTGGATGTATACAGTTCTTGGAGGGTGGGCAGGAGACCAGACAGCCAGCTGCTCAACCTCTTGTCTGTAAGCAGACTCGTCGCCGTCCTGGATGAGACTGATGACTGTAGTGTCATCTGCAAACTTCAGGAGCTTGACAGCGGGGCCTTTAGAGGTGCAGTCGTTGATGTAGAGGGAGAAGAGCAGTGGGGAGAGGATGCAACCCTGAGGGGCGCCAGTCCTGGTGGTGCGGCTGTTGGACTCAGTACTTAGTTGAAGCACCTTTGGCAGCAATTACAGCCTCAAGTCTTTTTGGGTATGATCCAACAAGCTTTGCACACCTGGATTGGGGGATTTTCTGACATTCTTCTTTGCAAATCCTCTCAAGCTCGGTCAGGTTGGATAGGGACCGGCGGTGGACAGCCATTTTCAGGTCTCTCCAGAGATGTTCGATAGGGCTCAAGTCAGGGCTCTGGCTGGGCCACTCTAGGACATTCACAGAGTTGTCCCGTAGCCACTTCGGTGTTGTCTTGGCTGTGTGCTTAGGGTCACTGTCAAGCTGGAAGTGAACCTTCGGCCAAGTCTGAGGTCCGGAGCGCTGTGGAACAGGTTTTAATTGAGGATATCTCTGTACTTTGCTCCATTCAGCTTTCTCTCAACCCTGACCAGTCTCCCAGCCCCTGCCGCTAAAAAACAGCCCACAGCATGAGGCTGCTACCAGCACACTTTACTTTTGGGATGCTACTCTGCAGGTGATGAGCAGAGCTGCTTTCCTTCAAACATGATGCTTAGAATTGAGGTTTATCAGACCAAAAGAATCTTGTTTCTCAAGAGTCTGAAGGTCCTTTACGGTTTTTTTTGCAAATTCCAAGTGTGTTTTCATGCGTCTTCACTGATGAGAGGATTGAGTTTGGCCACACCTCCAGAAAGCCCAGATCGATGGAGTGTTGCAGTGATGTTTGTCCTTCTGTAGGTTTCTCCCATCTGCATGTATGATCACGGAGCTCAACTAGAGTGACCATCAGGTTCTTGGCCACCAGTCTAGACAAGGCCCTTCTCCATCATTCGCTCAGTTTGGCTGGGCGACCAGCTCTTGGAAGAGTCCTGGTTGTGCCAATCTTATTCCATTTGTGAATTATGGAAGCCACTGTGCTCTTGGGAACCTTCAGTGCAGCAGAACTTTTTTGTAGCCTTCCCCAGATCTGTGCTGCGATACAATCCTGTCTCTGAGCTCTGCAGACAGTTCCTTTGACCTCATTGTTTGGTTTTCGCTCTGATATGCATTGTCAGCTGTGAGGCCTTTTATAGAGAGGTGTGTGCCTTTCCAAATCATGTCCAATCAATTTAATTTACCACAGGTGGACTCCAATCAAGGTGTAGAAACATCTCCGCAATGATCAAGAGAAATGGGAGGCACCTGAGCTAAATTTCAAGTGTTGTTGCAATACTTATGTAAATGTGATATTTCAGTTTTTTTCTTTTAAAAAATTTTTACAGACATTTCTAAAATTCTGTTTTCACTTTGTCATTATGATGTATGGAGTGTAGATTAATGAGAAAAAAAATGAATTTAAACAATTGTAGTATCAGGCTGCAACATAACAATACTGAAAAAAAGTACTTTCTGAATGCACTGTATATACCGTAAATGTGAACAGAACTTTTCTGTGATTTTGGACGTGCTGGCCACCTCTCGTTGAACATACTGAAATAATCTGTCAGAAGGTGATTTATATCGTAAACAGGATCTCACCGGTTTGCAGGATGTTTAGATGAACAGCTGCTCTGACAGTGCCAACAGGACTGACCGCCTGGCACTCGTACTGGCCCTGGTCATGAAGGGCCACGCGGCTGATGCGCAAGCTTCCCGATGAGAGAACAACGTGCCGTCTGTCATTAGGCAGGGAGCTGCCTATTGTAGGAGAACAGAGTTTTAGTGATTTTGTCCAAGCTGAAAACAGTTGATATAATCACTGACAGAAAGCAATTCAATAATCTATAAATGTGTCCTTGTGGCCTTTTAAGGAAAGTTCAGGAGAAATTAAATTCTATCTGAGGCATGCTGTTGATTCAGACTCATCTCTCAGTTAGTGAAGACAAACAAAAATCATGTTTACAGCACATACAACTGTGTAGGCAGTGTTAGAATGCATCCAATCAGAATTTCATAATTAGATCTTTGTGAAAAACGACACCTGTAGTACACAAGTACAAGAATGTACACTTGTAAAGGGCTTCAATCGTAAAAGCATATTTTATATTTGTACTTGCAGATAATATGAATGAAATAAAAATCTACTGAAATGTACTTAGACATTCTTGACTATGTTTCTTAACACACTTTTATAAAGTGCACTTTGTAATAATGTCAGATTAAAAGTTTTACTTTAAAGCATATTTTAAATACATGACTTACAAGTTTGAACAGAAATGACATTACAGTATATTTTAGCTTGTCAGTGATTATTATATACATTTTTATTTAATTGTAAACACTATGCAATTAAGTGTCCAACTTATTAATTTAAAGTATATTAAGTAATTTTTTTAACAAGTAGTGTTTTTTTTTTTTTTAAGTATGCCAAAGTGTACTTTTTGCATATGGGGATTTATCCCCCTTTTTTCCAAACTGAGGGACAAATTTCTGTGGTAATTGACAGCTGGAATTAACTTGGAACATTCGTTTAACCTTAAACAAAACCATTGCCTGGATTGTTCTGATATACTGCCCTAAACTGTTTGAATGCTATATTATAATTTTTAAAATGAATAAATGCCAGTTGGTCAGTATTAAGTGTCCAACTTATTAATTTAAAGTATATTAAGTAATTTTTTTAACAAGTAGTGTTTTTTTTAAAAATTTTTTTATTTTTTTTTTAAGTATGCCAAAGTGTACTTTTTGCATATGGGGATTTATCCCCCTTTTTTCCAAACTGAGGGACACATTTCTGTGGTAATTGACAGCTGGAATTAACTTGGAACATTCGTTTAACCTTAAACAAAACCATTGCCTTGATTGTTCTGATATACTGCCCTAAACTGTTTGAATGCTATATTATAATTTTTAAAATGAATAAATGCCAGTTGGTCAGATTTTTACTAAATAAAAATGCTGACCAGACTTGACTTAGGCAGATTGTTGAATAGTGTGGACTCCACTCTAGCAAGTCAAACAGACAAGGCGGCATTATGTAATCTCACCGCCGCGAGTCCATGCTATGACAGGCTGAGGATAGCCGCTGGCCTCGCAGGGAAACTCAACTGTATGACCCTCCAGCACAGACTGGTCCTGAGGGGTCACTGTGAACTGAGGACGAGCTGAGGAAGAAGAAAAGAATTGAGAATGAGCACAACCAAAGACTGGCAGAATGACAGACAGAACTAATCTTTCATATCAAACAGGTACAAGCTTTGGATCAAAAGAAAAAGAAAAGAAAATTGTTACAGAAAAATGTATTAGTTTTTTCAAATTATATTTATGATTTGGTTCCAATCTTAATTTTTGATTTAATATTAATTTAAATGTAATTTCATACAAAATAAAATAAAAAAAAGCATTTATTACAAAAAGCCCATCAGTTTAATAATTATATTTTCTTTAGACATTAGCCAAAGTGTTACTTAATGTAGATCAGTAAAATATGTTGGGGCTTTTTACAACCTTATTTCATCATAAAAACTAATTTAGGTTTAATATAAAAGCTGAATTTTCACTTGGGGTAAATCTAAAACATTCTGTTAATGTTTAATTTTGTTTACTTACTATTACTATAGACAAATTTGTCTTTTTAAAACACACACACACACACACACACACACACAAAGCACAAGAAGGATTAATTAAACCCTTAATAATGTATTCTATCTATGTGTTCTGCACATCAACACTGTTCTCAAACCAAATTCTATTTAAACAAAATTGTTTCTATTAATTCTTTGTATGGGGAGTCGTATTTGCTTTTAGACAAACTATGAGGAAACTATGATTAGACCAATATATATATATATTTTTTTTAATACACTTTCATTAGTGCTTTTTGAATAAGAGAACATAACGCTGCTTATCCCTTCCATTTTGAAGGACTGGATGTTTACACTGAACAGTTTAAAAATACATATTTCCCATTTGACTTACATCTGTTCTCAATCAGAGCTTTTGTGCTACTTCATATATAAAATCCACAAATGAGTAAACAAATGAGTATCCACAAAAGTAACAAAACGTTATATATTATGTGTATACATGTTACATTTTGATACATTGTAACAATATCTCATAGCTGCTTTCAGATTATATGTATGGTGAAAGGCTCTATATACAAATAAACATGACTTGGGTTAACTGATTCCTGGCTAATTTTTTACTTCCATCCTTTACACTGTATACCACGGGTCAATGCTCTTTCATTAACTTCACAACTGCCACCTTAACGTCACAGTGAATGACACCTTTAGGCAACCATTACTTGAAATTTAAATAGCATATACAAGAACCTAAATTATGTAAAACAGAATCATGATTATTAACTGACGTAACACATTTCCACTTCACTTACCCTGTACTATAATTTTTGGCGCTCTAGCGGTTAATAAACAGAACTGCACACATCCCGCGGAAGAACATTCCAACCGGAGCTACTTCTCTAAGTTTATGTCTATGGCGATTCACGCAGGTATGTGTTACTCCGCAGCGGTGACGACCCGACCAGGCTACAATAGTCCAAATATAAGTACTTATTATAAGTGTACCGTAGTGATTCGGAATAAGACAAAAACGCAGTTTGGAAGATGAATTCATGATGTACTCGCTCATTATATACATTTTGCAAATTTTTAACACGGAAAAAGTTACATAGTGCTGCTTTAACGTCCCAAGTGTCGCTGGTATTGTATTAATATGTGTATCTTGCTCTGTAGCATCAGCATAGCACAGCAGATCTATTCGGCCAAGACTAAACACATTAACATCATATCAACTAACATGCTAAAACTATATTCATGATTGAAATAAGTCTAATTAGTACTTTTATGGCGTTTTTGTCATTTTCAGACAGCCTCATTATGGAAAGAGCTCTCTAGACATGCTGTAATATTTCTTCTTGTGTGTTCCATGAAAAACAGGTTGTGTCTGCTTTGAGTAACATGAAGGAGAATAAAAGACGACAGAACTTTATTTCAAGCTGAAACTATTCCTTTAAACATGTACATTGAGGGAGGGAGCTTACTTGTTTCTGAGCCAGATGATCTGAGGTTTGGGGTTGCCTTCTGCCCTGCATGTGAAGTACACAGTGTTCCCAGAGGTTACGTCAACATCCTGCGGCTCAGATGTGATCCGGGGAACTTCTGCTCCACAGTAGAGACACATTCAGATGAAACTAAATATAAGTGTGCCGCAAAAGACGAGGTGTGAGGAGAAGTAAAACAAGTTTAATTTGGTCTGTAAAAGCTATTGGAATTACAGCACTGAAGGTTTATTTGTAGTGGCACAGTGCGACTGCTGGAAACAACATTCGACATCTCCCTCTTGCCTCACTTCCTCTGAACTGGTTTGGCTGCCCGTGTTGGTTGACGGCCAGGCACGAGGTGATTGTGTCTATGGTCACAACGGCATGTGCCAAACCCCAAACATTACCCACCAACACCAATGTGCACTTGGTGAAATGTATCCCTGAACAGTCTGACAGAACTGTGAAACTCTTTCTACTGGCAAAACCAAACGTCTGGTTGCACACTGAGTCAAAGTCCTTGCATATAACAGAAGAGGGACAAAATTCTCCTTTCGTGTTCCAAAGAAAGAAAGAAAATCATGCAGTTTTGCAATTCCAAGGGGATAAGCAAATGATTACAATATTTTTGGGTGACCTTTACTTTTCATTCTATGACTAACTTTTGTATTGCATTGCGCAGTGTGGCAGTAATGCGACAGGTCCTGTGCCAGTCCCAGAGAAACAGCAGCTGTCTGGCGGGCTGGTGCTGTGTTTTGACAGGTGCCTCAAGCGTCTATGTGCTGTGTTTAATGTATAGAGGGGGTGGAAAAGCCATACGGTGTTAACCCCATTCTTCTACAGAGACAATAGGGCCGTTTGTGGAGCTGCAACAAGCCTGAGCAAGTCTATCGAGCACAACTGCTACTGTACTGAAACCTCTACTGCTGCTCAGAGGTCACCCAATGGACCACATTTCAGAGAAAATATGTAGACGGAAATAATTATTATATCAATTATTCGTTTCATTTCTATTTTATTGAACATAATAGTAATAAAATAAATAGTATGTTTAATCATTTATTACTAAAAATGAAATAAAATCAATTAAATGAGTGAGTTCCGCCAAATAAATACTGCTGCAATTGTACGAATATGTTTTATTATCTGATGGTTCTATGTGTTACATGTTAATAGCCTTGAAATAGCTTCAGTGTAGTCCATTACGTTTTGTTCGTAGCTTGTAGTGCAGCAGCTAACTACTTTTTCTGTGGGTGGTTTGACAGTAGTTTGAGCACTTGAAATTATAAAAGGCTTCCGTTTCGAACCACTGTAAAACTGTAAAAAAAAATGCCACAGCAAAATACCTTTTTAACTGTAAGTCACGTAACATATACAGTGGAAAAACCATCAGATCATTTCATTTAACGGTCAAATAAAATGCATGTTTTTGCAAGTAAAATCTATAAATTACTGTATTGTTTATGGTGAAAAACACTAAAAATCAATTTTTAAAAGTCCCTGCATGAGACATGTCATATGATTATATTTGACTTAAATAGTGTAGTTTCTTCTTATTTTTGTTATCAGTTATGTACATTAGGGTGTTCTGTGTTATATTACCTGTTATTTAGTTAATGCTTATTGCATTATTTTAGTGTTGTGTGTTATCCTGATGGTGTTTTGTGTTTATGAACCTTATGGCCAGGCCACTAACAATGAACTCTGATTCATCAAGTGGCTTTCTATTGTATCAGTTAGTACATTAAAGGTACAAAAACCTTAGTATTTCAAATAGTTCTGTATATTAAGATTACCATAATTTGTTTTTCAGTTAACCACTGAACTGGTAATTAACCCAATATCTGAGCTGCTTTTTTCCCCAGCTGACAATTCTGACGTCAGAAAGCCCAGTAGAGTTGACCTGTATTTGTTTCACAGATGGTTGAAACTGAAAAGAGTCACGTTTGACCCTTCACTCCTTCCAGTGTTTCACGAGGAGGTGGCGTAGCATGCAAACAATGACACATCTGGGAAATCTCTCCATAATCCAGCTCCCAAAACCAGATCAGCATCTGTTATTTATTATGATGATTAAAATGTTCAAAGACATTGAGTGGTCCAATTGAGCAGAATCATGTGGGGGCAGATGCTTTAAATCTTTCAATAATTTAGTGTCAGTTCATCATTTTGTTTTTGATTTGAAAACTATGTGTATATTGGTGTGTGTTTATGTGTGTGAATGGCCTCACCACAGTTGAGCTCCTCTGCAGTGAGAGTTGCGACCGAGCGTCCCTGCAAGCGGCTGGGATAGTCGCATGTAGCTGCGGCAGCATAATTTAAAATCACGAGTTTAAAGTTTGTCGATCGCACGTCTCCAGTGAAGCTGAACTCTCCTCCGGTCCGCATTCAATTCACACGGACCGACCGTCACACAGAGAACACAGGCATTGATCATGCAGGATACACATGCACACTTCAGTTTGCAAGGTTTTTGAAATTGGATGTTTATTAGACATTCAAAGATTTGTTTAAATGATATAAATGCGTATTTGCTGAATGCTGATGGCAAACAAGAAAGTATTATAATGTTTGCCTTTCTATTACTAATAATATTAAAGCAGTCGTTATAAGACTTTTTGTATACATTTTAATTCCTTTGTTCTATCTGATTATTAGACAGACTTCTATCCGTATTTAGACAGAACTGTTAAGGACAACAGCGAACAAGAGGAGGAGAATGTGAGCACTGTGTGTCCAGGCGCTGCCGTTCTCAGCGCCGTCAAAATAAAAGTCCTGCCTCAAACGCATCGGCCAAACAGGAAAACTTATCGGCCGATGCTGATATTTAAAAAATGCCAAATATCGGCCGATATATCGGCCTTGGCGATATATCGGTCGACCACTAGTTAAAATAAAATTGTTTCCTTTTTTGCAAAGCACAAATTCACATGGTTGTGACACTTGTAGCAGACTGGAAAACAATGCTTTCTGCTCAAATCCCTGATACATGTGTAGGTTGTGTAGTTGGTGTGGTTGAATGACTGCTGAATATTCAGCTTGGCAACACAGGAATAAATTACACTTTAAAATATATTACTATAGCAAACCGATTAAATTGTAATATTTCACAATATTACAATTTTTACTGTATTTTTGAACAAATAAGTGCAGCCTTGGTGAGCAGAAGGAAAAAACTGTAGGCCTAATTATTCCGAAATGTTGATCTGTGGAACAGAGATGCAAAGATGAAGGTCCACAGGGATGTTCTTATTTTCTACCAGGTCAGATGGGGTCACATTCCCAGGGATGACATTACTGTTCACAACTAGTCAAATAAACAATGGGAGGCATACTTTCCAGATGCAGATTCGTTATACATTTTCACTTCTTCACCAGCTTCTAGCTTCTCTGTAAACTCCAGCAGCGAACTGGTCCCTAACTCAAGTGTTAGTCCTTGTTTATGTGCGAGTGACTTTCCCGTCATTGAAAGACATCAGAATGTGTGTGAGTACAGCGCAACAAATCTCCAAACATTTAGAATTCGGGTCAACAGAAAGAAATGCGACAGAGAAAACTGTAATAAAAATGATTTAAGCTGCTTGTACAATTTGAGCTAAACAACACAATCCACTTAAAAATTAAAAACTGATCTATTTCTGCTGGGATTACCTGAAACTGGGCAGTGGATTGTTAGTTCCCAGCATGCTTTGCACAGGGCTGGATCATGAGAGTAAATGGTGGCATTAAGTGCTATTTTATGTGTTTTTAAGTAAAGAGAAAGACCTGAACCTTCATACTGAAGTCACTCAATGATGAATAGCTGTTACTAAATAAGTGCAGTGGCATGGAACTTCTTACTTGTTCACTGTAAGCATGTGCTTTGCTACATACAAAAACATTAAGTGTTAATCAAGAGTTCATATTACTTACATTTTGTTAATACTTTGTTAAAGTATTGTGTAGACTTAATTTAAAAGACTAATTTATTTTGTGCATCTTAGTCTTTACATTTAAGTGGTCTTAGGGTGACCATAACGTCGTCTTTTTGGACCTAAAAAAATTATTTCTAAATCTCCCAAAATGTCCGGGATTCGGCTTTTGCTTTCTACAGTCGTTATTCATTGTCTGCACTTTTGTATTCGTTTTTGTAAGACTGTTTTCTTAATCCTGCTTCCACTGAATTTCTGACCATTACCGGCCTGCTCCCACAACATGTCTTTTCCGCTCCTGCGATTTTTGTGTCCAGTCCCGCCAACATTCCAATACTGCATATCATTTTCGCGCATCAGTGAGCAGAGCTATCAATATGTGCAATATTGAAATCCCTTTTGAATGAGTGCTCGTGGTTCACTTTCGATTTCGCAATCATGCGTACTCTGTGTAAAGGAAGCACATCTTACGATCTAAGATATTTGTCAATGAGCTCAGGATCTGTTGAGCAGCAAATCCGCCACCATAGTCTGTCGGTCATCTCTCCTTACTCTCGACCCATGATCAGTCAAATCTGACTCCTGCAGCTCGTGTTGGACGCAGGGCTGTCAAGTCCGCGTTTTCTTCAATGGATTTGGGCTACTTTTAAACTGTTGCCAATGGGTTGGTTTGCATAAATTACATTTGACTGAAATGCTTGTATTGAAACATTTTAGCTATGTTTATGATCAATCTGCATAACAGTGACTGTATTTTGAATTCTGATATTTGGGATATGGTCACTGCACTAATTTGGGGGCTACTTTAAAAATATGGTCACCCTATCTTTACCCAACACATGGGATGAAATCTACCCAAACAAACTGAGTGCAAATTGCACCCTTAATTTTTTGGAATAGTTTCAACACTGGAATTGGAGGAGAAACAATTTTCATTCCGACAACAGAGAAAAGTGAATCTCAATAAACCTGTTGTACACAATTGGCATATTTAAGATATTTATATACTTTTATGTATAGTATCTGCTATAAGATCTGATTTACAGCTATCAGAATTTCATCTTACTCTTTGCCTACATAAATATCAGAATCCAAATTGCATATTTTTACCCAGTATGAGCTCCATATTCTCCCTTCAACATACTATATGAGCCAAAAAAATCCTTATGTATAAAATATGATACAATCAAAAACACACATGATTTTTCTTTCATATGTCAGGGTTTACAGGGTCAAAACATTCATTTGAAGACAATTCCTCTCTCAAAACAAACTAGAGCATAGGCTACAGCTCATAGCACACATTTGCCTACACGCTCGTCTTTTTTTTAATCTCATTTCAAAAGGGACGTGTTGTCATGACTAAACATGCAACCCTGTAGGGATCGGAGTGACGATTTGAGGTTTGAGATGCATGCGTAACTCACAGCCGCTCCAGCTTGGGTAGATGAGAGAAAGACACCGGCTCCAATGACTCAATGTTGTTGAAGTGCAGGTATCTGTGAGAGAGAGTCACATTGTTTTACTTGCCATAAACATAGTATCTAGAGCTTTTCCTCAGTTCATTTTGAATGTTATTACCATGATATAACAAAGAGTGAAAAATTTAAGGGGGTCTGAATACTTTCCGTACCCACTGTATATATATATCTTTTCTTTTCTTTCTTTTAATTGTTGGTTGTTTTTTACAATGCAATTCCCATAATAAATCATAACTGGAGATATTTTTTCATCATAAAAATATCATTATAGTGACTTCATTATATGCACTATATTCTGAGTTTTCTGAAAGCTGTACAATAGCTTTGCATCAGAAATTGTGTGAACTATTCCTTTAACTTTGAGAGATATTAAAAACTAGACAGGAGGTGACAAGGCAAAAGGTTACTTACAGCTGTTCTAGAGAGACGAGCCCCTTAAAAGCTTCTCTGTCTATCGCCTGGATTTCATTCTTGTACAAATAGCTGAAAGAATTATTCAGGAATATTAGTACATAGCGAGTGTCAAACATTGAGGGATCTCCTATTTTTAACAGAGAAAAGAAAAATAAAACATGCACGACATGTACACACAGAAATAAAGATCAAAATGAACTTTTTAATCAGATAATGCAGGAATAATAGAAAAAAAACTGTTGCATATTGACTGTATACTGATAACACAGATAGGGTGGCCTGTGGGAAACAGGAAGGAAAGTTTGTGGTTTTCCTGTTCTGTTGAGAACCAGCGCTCAGTCACATAAACCACATGATCCTGTGACCTTAAGGACTATGACACCATCCCACAGGAAGTATATGCTGCAGATATGCCGTGCCTTCCCATACAAGTATTCAATATTTGCATATATAAGCACCACTAAAGCAATGCACTTTAAGATGTGAGAGCTGTTCAAGTTAAGAATCTGCCAATAATATTATTACTGTAATGGGAATATCACTCAGACCATGATGGAAACTGAAATCATTAGGAAAAAAATTTCTTTTTCAATATTACTCCATTGATATTAATTTCTCTATTGATATTATCAGTAACAATTTGAGTAAAAAGTCAAACTGAAAAGTGTATATGAATATTGTTCCTCAAAATGCCTTTAAACGTTTTGAATTCCTAACATTTTCTACTTATGTCCAGGTTTCAATGATTAAAAAAAAAACAAAAAAGAAAAAACAGATTTTTGGACCCCACTATATATGTAAAAAAAAAAAAAAATCCAGCTGGTGGCTAATTAAACTATTATAATATTAGTTCTTCTAGATAATATTGGGATTTCAATTTTTATTTTCATTTTAAAGTTTTAGTTGTGTGTTTTTGTTGTTTTTTAAAATGAATTGTATTTCAGTTTTAGTTATATTAGTACATAAAGTTAAACTAAATATGTTATGTAACTATAAAACGGGAATAAAATCAACCCTTTTTTAGATTTCATTTCACAATAATAACCCTGAAAAATGTGAGGTTTTCTTATGCAAAACCCTGTTGAATGTTTACAGTGTCTGAATTACAGTGGTAAAATGACAAACCAGCCACAAAGCAGGTTACATTCACTTTGTCTGGACCACTGGACCTTGCTTGAGTAACCAGAAGGGGACATTTTAAAGTACTCTTTCAGACAACTCCACAGCTGGACATCATGACTGTGTGAACTATCACATGTGTCTGATGGTTGTACCGCCCAAGACCAGGTAATGAATGAAATAATACTCAGCCTGAGACTTATAATACTCAGTATGTTTATCTGGAGTGACACACGAGTTGTAGTCTGTGAAGTCAGCGTTTGTCATTTAGACCACCAGCACTAGAATAACAGTGGGCTCCAACTGTTCAGCCTCTTGTAGAGATTGTTTAGGCTTCACACAGTCCAGTGGTCAATCACCAGTGAGTTGTACAAATATTTTTGTATTATAATTCTTAAAAAGAAAATTAGTGATGGATACACGATACACTAAGAGTGAACTACTTTTTTTTGGCTTGTTTTGGCAGTATATATATATGATGAAAAAAAAATACAAATAAATACATAAAAAATAAATAAAATAATGTAAATAAATAAAATAAATACATATTTCTTTATTTAGGGGTAGGGATGGATGTCCCAATAATAATGTGTAAAGTAATAATAATAATTAATGCCACAATGCAAAATTTGTCATAGTGGTGATAAAAAAAAAATGCTTAATTTTCTTAACCCTTTAGGTGCCAGGGATTTTTGGAAAAATGCTGGATTTTGACATCAAGATTTCAAAAGCTTGTGGCTTGAAAGGGCTTAAAGATAGAGATCTAATGTAAATTAGAAAAATGTTGGGCATGACCGAAAGTTTATGTGGGGTGTAAATATGCTTGTCTAATCTGCATATTATGACGTCATCAGAGGCGGCCATCTTGAATTTCATAATATTCAGGAAATAGTAGATATTGAACTGATGTTTGAACTTATTTGCATGTTGTTGTTTTTTTATCCTCATTCCAAATGATCAGAAAAGAGGAAACCAACAATAAAACAGGAGAAAGTACTAAATTATTACTATAGTACTATACTATATAGAGAGTATAAACGCATGTGAACAGTAGCCTACTTTTTGATCAGTTCATCAGTAATATTCAGGAAATTATTGATATTGAATGGATGTTTGAACTTATTTGCATGTTTTTTTTTGTCTTTTTATCCTCATTCCAAATGATCAGGAAAAGAGGAAATCAACAGTAAAACAGGAGAAAGTAGTAAATTATTACTATATTACTGTGCCATAGTAAAATGCATGTGCCTATTTTTTGATCAGTTGGCCAGCTATCTGCCCAATCAGGTATCTAGGTGACACAGTTTATAGTTCTCGAGAGTATGGTACCTCTCATTGCATGGCACAGCGCACAGACCTACCCCACACTGTCTGCACCGTGTACCACTTCTTTGGGGCACTGGATCCAGAGCCGCTCTGAGTGGATCCAAAGAGCTAGTGCTACTTCCAGCCCCATTTCTCCTACCCCTGCTGCCTCTACCTCTAGCAACAGCTCTCCTATGGACACTACGACCACGTCCACCCCTGCCACCCCATCCCCGTTGGGCAAAGGGTCGAAATGATCACTTGTTTGTGCTTCGTGAACACTCTCGCCTTGCACGGTGGCACCGGGAGAAGCGTGATTATTAGACGACCGATCGTCATTTCCAAAAGACAAATATTCCACTTCAGAATCGGCGAACAACATTTGCAACACATCCTCACGGTACAACTTTTTATTAGCCATTTGGCGATTTTCTCTCACAAATCTCACAATTTATTCGCACGCTATGAACTGAACTGCTTCCGCATCAATGACACGATCGCTCACTTGCTCTGCTATTTCCTCGAACACTTTGAATAGGAACGTGACGTAATTTTGGTCTAGAATCGAAGTACTACATGTCTGTCATCTAGTGGTAGGGAATACAAATGAGATATTACACCATATTAGGAACTACAGTCTATTTTATTAAGTATGACGTCTTATCGCAATTTTGCGACTTTGGCGCTTAGAGGGTTAAAGCAGAAATATGTATTTATTTTGATTTGGGGGTGAAATATGACCAGACATGTTTTTGACAAGTTGGTGAGATTGACCTACACATACTTTACTCTTACTGTATTCTCTTAGCAGCTGAGTTTAGATGTTATCTAGGCAAAACCAGGTGTGAAACATTTCAAACAACCAACTGTATTTAAATATAAACACAGGCTGCTCTTACCACAACTAAAGTTACAGATTCTCAAATTGCTCTGTGACGAACAAAGACAGGAACTGTGCAGCGTCTGCCCAGAGAGCAATTACTCCAGCTCCGCCTGACTCTGATCTCCGCGCTTTTGGGTCAGGGCCGTCAGACAGATAATTTTACAGTGCAGGTAGGCAAAACCAGGTGTGAAACATTTCAAACAACCAACTGCATTTAAATAAAAACACAGGCTGCTCTTACCACAACTAAAGTTACAGATTCTCAAATTGCTCTGTGACGAACAAAGACAGGAACTGTGCAGCGTCTGCCCAGAGAGCAATTACTCCAGCTCCGCCTGACTCTGATCTCCGCACTTTTGGGTCAGGGCCGTCAGACAGATAATTTTACAGTGCAGACAATTAAGTTTCCCACATGTGTGAGAGTCTCTTTCCATGACCTCAACTCTCTTCTGTGTCAAACAATGGCAGTAGTAATGACTGAATCATTCATACAAGTGGTGAGCATGGTGCAACATGTTGGCTCATGGTTCTGAAATCAAGTTAAAGGGAACATTTTTATCATATCACCTACTATACTGTACATTTTAACTTGAACTTTCAGGCAGTGGTTGTACAGTAGCTATGCTTTAAAATTAATATTACTTGACTTCTCTAACTCAGAACTTAAGCTTTTATCCATAAAGCATCACTCTTTCTGTATTTTTATTTATCCACAATTTCAATATTTTAATAAGCAATCAAAAGAGGTAAAGAAAAGCTCACAGATATTTTAGGTTTTCCAAATCTTCAAAGGCTCCTCTTGGGATTCTTCTAATGTGGTTGTTATTTAAAAGCGAATTTTTTTTATAGACTTGTCAGATAAAAAAAATAAACGCAGCCTTGGTGAGCATAAGAGACTTTGTTGAAAAACATTTTAAACATTGTATTCCCACCTAAGACTAATATAATATAACTAGTATAGTTGCACAGTGAGATTATATATCATGTGAGTACCCTGAGAATGTAGGTAAATATTCAATTATTGCACATAATAATAACAGTTATTGTAAATGCATTGAGTGAGGTAGAAATTGTGCATTCAATATCTAACGCTCCCAAACCCACCAGAAGATGTATACCCCTTTCCTTCATGGCCTCTGAGATATGGAATACACTCAGCTTGAGTCTATCTTCTGTCTAGCCAACCTCTTAGCATATTTATAGATATGCGCTCAGCTGTGCTGTATTGTTAGGCCTGCTGGAATCCCGACTAGTATTCTCAGGATATAACAGACTGAGGATATTAACCATAATCAGGGAATAAATCACAGTTTTCTCTGACTCTACCTCACAAGCTTCTGTCCTGATCAGATCCAGCCCCACCAACACTTTCCATTATCCCCCACCTTTAACTCATCTTTTCTGAGGAACTGTATCTGATGTTTGTCATTCCATAAGCCAGCAGATGAGGGATGAGGGATATTTCCCTGAAAACTGCTTGGATCGCGACGGTAATCTCAGGCTGGGCTCCAATCATATAATTGCAACTATTATATGTTATTTAATAACACATTAACATGTGACTATTACGCTTTTCTGTAACTTTATATACTTTGGCCTAGATAATTTAAAGGGGTGGTTGACTTTTTTTTTCTAAAATGTGTTAAAAGGGATAGTTCACCTAGCCTGCTGGAATCCCGACTAGTATTCTCAGGATATAACAGACTGAGGATATTAACCATAATCAGGGAATAAATCACAGTTTTCTCTGACTCTACCTCACAAGCTTCTGTCCTGATCAGATCCAGCCCCACCAACACTTTCCATTATCCCCCACCTTTAACTCATCTTTTCTGAGGAACTGTATCTGATGTTTGTCATTCCATAAGCCAGCAGATGAGGGATGAGGGATATTTCCCTGAAAACTGCTTGGATCGCTTGTAATCTCAGGCTGGGCTCCAATCATATAATTGCAACTATTATATGTTATTTAATAACACATTAACAAGTGACTATTACGCTTTTCTATAACTTTATATACTTTGGCCTAGATAATTTAAAGGGGTGGTTGACTTTTTTTTTCTAAAATGTGTTAAAGGGATAGTTCACCTAAAAATGAAAATTTGCCTGTGTTTTACTCACTCTCAAGACATCCTAGGCATGTCTGACATTCCTCTTTCAGACGAACACATTCAGAGTTATATTCGAAATTGCCACAGTTGGCTAACTCACGCTGAGCATTATGGCAATGTCATCAGTGCAGCTGCTTTGAAACAGTTTAAATAAAATTGAATCAAACTGAAACTGTGCTTGCTGATTATGTTGTGTCTTTGGTGCATTTACCCGTAAACTGAAACAGGCATGTAGTAGTATGGCAAGGTACTAGTGCTCAGTATCTTCACCGGCATCATAAGTGAATTTAGTCCATTATGACAACAAATACCTTCAGGATAACATTACAAGCAGTGGAAGGCTGGCTGTATTTTCTCTCACGGAGATCACAACATTGATTTGGCTTGCAAAAACCACCAAATTGCTGTGTAAACAGGGCATGTGCCAACTAACTTCTAACAAGCGTCTCCGTAGAACGTTCTCAGAGAACAGGGAATGAACTCCAACTAATAACAAGGTCCACAAGCTTTTCACAAGATTACTGCTAAATCTGCTTGTGATATATCATCATTTACTCATCCTCATGTCATTCCAAATCCCTTTACTTTCTTTTATGCCATCTATGTAAAGAAAGAAAGTTGAGGTTTGGATTGACATGAAGGTGAAGATGACAAATTTCGAAATGGAAGAACAAAAGCAACAAGAAGATAATGCACATCTTCGCAGCTCTTAAAGTTTTCAGTGTCCACTTTCTGTTGTGTGATGTAAACATTTAAGTAACCTTCTTAAGGACTTTTCTATTAAGGACTATTAAGGAATTCTAGTAGCAGAGCTTTAAATCCAGTCAATGCCAAATCATTTGGAGTTAGCATTATGAGTGAGTCGAATCAAGTTATAATTAATTCAGATTTATAGACTTGTGTAACAATACACACATACCCCCCAAAAAAGGTGGACACCTATGTCATGCTGGAACAGCTACTTCAATGTTTTACTCCATTCACATCTGCAGGTGTGTTAGAGGTCTTGCGAGGTCACAGTGTGCATAAATTCAAACACTGGGAATTCCTCACTGACCAGATAACTGATGAAACCTCGTGGATAAACATCAAACATCTTATTTACAGCCGTGATCTACTATCTCCGACTCGATTTTCCCAGGCATTATAGATTGACATGAAAACTTCCATGTAAAAACATCTGGATTTCACATGAACAAACTAAAATCCTTCTATGGTAATACAAATATCACTTCCGGAAAACTCATTCTTACCTCACATGTACAAAAGTTTAGTGCAGGAGAGAACATGTGGCCAAAGCTTAGATTAGTTCGATTAGATCATTTGAAATCAAATAAACTGTGATTGTACATTCTAATAAATACTGGGTTATAAACAGCTCAATCTAGGTAATATTGGCAACCCAGCACTTGGTCAAAAAGGGACAAACAAGGGTTGGTTTGACAACCGGCTGCATTGGGTTTAATGTTAGACACAACATGCTGCTGTTTTACTGAACTCAACTATTGTTTAAAAATGACTATACTGCTTAGATATGATTAACCCAAATGGATTGGAAATTAAAATTCCACACACAATTACTGCAGAAACATATTGTAATCAAAAGGTGAACATTTATGGATAAGTAGAATCACCCAGAAATGGACAAAAATATAGGCAAAAAGCAACATATACATACATGTACATGTGAGTTAGAAAAAAAGTTCAGAAAAGAATGGCAACTCAGTGGTTAAATGAAACAGTTTAAGAGTTTAATACTGAATATCTTGACCAGTTATGTCATCTTTTCCTTTTCTCCCACCAACAAACACACTATTATAAATCTCTCTGGTTCAAGAACATCAATCAGATGGGGTTAAATGCCTCTTTCTCTGAAGATGAATGGCATTTGTTTTGTATTTCTTTGTATCATTTTATTTTGTTCTTCTGTGCAAATCTGTACTGGTCAAAAGCATTTACTCGTGATGTTTCTTCAGAAGTCATTAACCCTTCTAATTTATTCAAATGTTTTATTAATTAGTGATATATAGACAAATAACCCAACCAGTATAGTTTTATGATATAATAATTCATCCCAGACAACTAAGCAATTGTGGGTCAATTCTGGTCAGATGTCTGGCCCATATCAAGCACAAGACTTTCCCTCCAATGTACACACTGTAAATTGTTCCTGGATCACAGACAGAACAGGAAACATTCCTGATTCATTTTCACATAAGGAAAGTAAAAAGCAGTAAATTACAGACAGATAAAAGTCTTTGTTGTGTTCTCACTTTTGCCAAATGAACTGAGTAAGTGAGTGAAAGAGATGTTGGAAGATGTTTCTCTGCCATCAGGACTCTAAGCCAAGACTTCTTTGTTTATGTTTCCCTGGGAGTCCAGCAACTGACAGTATGAGCCGAAATATGCACTTCTATCCGGGTCGTCTGTTCATCTGAAACGCTAGAAGACAAACGACCTTGCATGACAGCCCCTCACAGAGACGTGCTCAGACATGGGCTGCTCAGATTCCAGCAGGCCCCCATCCCGCCTCAGGAAACACCCTGAGAACAGACTGAGCTCATCTACTGATCTGCACAACATAATCGACACATTCACATCATTCCTTACCGAGATATGGCTCGGAGTGGTGGACAAGTCATCCAAAAACCAACTCGTTTGTTAGTGAACCTATACTGAGATTCTGTTCGTTTAGCAGCTTTAAAGGGTCATATGATGCTGCCAAAAAGAACATTATTTTGTGTATTTGGTGTAATGAAATGTGTTTATGTGGTTTAAAGTTAAAAAAACACATTATTTTCCACATACTGTACATTATTGTTTCTCCTCTATGCCTCGCCTTTTTGAAACGCGTAAATTTTTACAAAGCTCATCGGTCTGAAAAGCGAGGTGTGCTGTGATTGGCCAGCTATCCAGTGTGTTGTGATTGGCCAAATACCTCAAGCGTGTGACGGAAATGTTACGCCCCTCACCATACCGTGATGCCGTGTCCGGCCGGAGCGACGAGACAAAAACATTAAAACCCATTATAAACGAGGCATTTGTTGCATCCAGTGGGGACATAATTACTGATCATAATGACTTGTACTGTCTTTTTATGCGCTGCGTTGCATCGCGCCGCGTAAACATAAAACCATGCCTGCATTTGTGATCGGAGAAATGACAAACAACAAGTGCTACTCTACACTGCTCAAAACTTGCGGCGCGGCCGGCGGATTCGACAAAGGAGCGGCAACCACATGTGACGACCCCGGGCTGGACTCCGCTTCGTCCACGATGAAAGCCGATCCGGCGATCCACAGCGCAAAGTTGATGTATTCCCTCAGCGACCAGCACAGATCAGCTCTAGGTATGACGGCAACAATACTACAGCGAGAATAAAAGTTACGCCTTCTTTCTTTGCGTGAACATTTGTGCGGCGTTATGCAAATCTTCCCACATTGTGAGGTAGACATGTGGGGCGTGTTAGAACAAGCCGTTTTAGGTAGGTGTGGCTGACTCTTAACTTCTATAAAGAATATCTCTTTGGATTTGAGACTTTAGTCTTTGCAACTTTACAGATCTTCTTTATGCACCAAGAGCTTGTAACACTCCAAAGAGAAAGGAAACATTGAAATCGCATCATATGACCCCTTTAAAATGAAGACAAATAAGGAGCATCTCTACATTACCTTTAAAGCACCTTCATCAACACGTTTCAAGACAATTATAATGCAGGAACTA